TGCCACTGACTTGGTGGAGCGGAAAGCCAGATCTAGGTTTTGAATTTAGTATGAGATTGACTTTTTTTTTTTTTTGAAACAACCTTTTATTATTTTGAGAGAAGTAGAGCTTCATATGCAGTTGTAAAAAGTAATACAGGAAAAATACAGGGTGTGCTTCAACCCCTGTCCCCAGTGGGAACATCTTGGAGAACTATTGGACAGTAGCACAGCCAGGATATTGATGCGGAAACAGTCAAGGGAAGGAGCTGTTGTGTCATGGCCAAGGACCCCTCATGCTGCTGCTGCATGTTGATTTTCTTTATGAAGAGGTTCACTTGCCCCTACTGCGTGTGCCTCTCTCCTGACCACTAAAATTTGTTCTGCATTTCTATGCTTCTGTCATTTTGAGAATGTCATACATGTAGGGTCCTATGGTTTGGAACCTTTCGGGATTTGCTTTTTTAAAATTGAGCCAAAATTCTCAGGAGAGGCACTAGGCTGTTGAACATTTCGTTTATTGATCCCTTCTTATTGCTGCGGTCATTTCCATGGAATATTGTACCACAGTTTTTATGTCACGTTTTCCCATTGAAAGATACCTGGGATTATTTCCAGTTACAAATAAAATTGCTATAAACATGGATTTGTAAGTTTTGGTATGGATGCACGTCATCCTTTGCCAGGGTTAAATGCTCAAGACATAGTTGTTGGATCTTAAAGCAAGTGTGTGTGTTTTTTTTTTAAATGTTTACTTTTACAAGAAGCTGCCTACCTGTTTTCCCAAGCAGCAGTACCGTTTTTTACTTCTGTTACCAATTTGCACATGATCCTGTTTTTCACCACCTTCAGCGGCTTTTCGTGTTGTTTTAGTTGTATTTCTGCCGTTCTGATAGTTGCGTGTTTTTTTCTTACTTTGCTTTTGTCTTTCTGTAATCATTAATGATGTTGAACACTGTGTATGTGTGTGTGCACGTGTGCTTATTTGCTTGCTGTATTTTTTGATAACGGTGTGTCTGCTTTTTGGTGTCTGTTTTACTTAGCCTTGGGTTTTGAAGACTTTGTCTTAGATTTTTTTTTCTCTAGGAGTTAAAGTTCTATGTTAATATTTGTGATAATTTCAAATTTGTGTGTGTGTGTGTGTGTGTGTGTGTGTGTGTGTGAAGTATCAGACTCAGGTTCAGGTTTTTGGTTTTACTCTGGATATCCAATTGCTTCAGCACCATACATTGGAATGACTGATTTTTCTCTGTTGGGATGTTGGTGCTTATTTGTGAACAGACACTGGCTGTTCCTGAATGGAGCCTTTTCTGAATGCTGTATTGTGTTCCAGTGATTTGTGTGTCTTACCAGTGCCACACACTGGTAAGATCACTGTGAATACATGATAAATCCTGAAATCAGGGAGAATAACTCCAACTACTTTATTCCTTTTTAGAATTGTTTTTGATATTCTAATCCTTTTGGCTTTCCATATAAATTTTAGAATTACCTTGATGGGAGTTCCCAATAAGATTAGTATTTTGATAGGAATTGCATTAAACGTGGTCATCAATTTGGGCTGAATTGGCATCTTTGCACTGTTGAGTCTTCTATCTATGAACATAGTATATCTCTTCATTCAGATCTTCTTGATTTCTTTAGTGTTGTACAGTTTCAGCCTACAAGTCCTATATATTTTTGTGAAAATTACACTGAAATACTTATTTTTCTTTATGTTCATTGTTTATTATGTAGACATGAGTTTTTTTTTTTTTGATATTATATGCTGTGACCTATTTGAACTCACTTGCTAGTTCTAGGAGCTTTTTTCTGTAGGTTTCATGGAACTTTCCATGTAGACAAGCATGTCATTTGCAAATAGTTATTTCTAATTGGGTGAGTTGTGACCATTTGTATTTCTGAGAAATTGGTACATTTTGTCTTAGTTGCAACATTTGTGGGTATAGAGTTGTTCATCATAGTCCCTTATGGTTTTTTTTGATGTCTGCACATTTACTCTGTAGCTCTTTTGTTAGTTTTTTTTTTTAATAGGAAAAGTTTTAAAATTTTATTTGAAAGGCAGAGAGAGATGGGAAGGAAAGGGTGGGAGAGAATATGAATGAAAACTCATCCGCTGGTTCACCACCCAAATGCCCACAATAGCCAGTTCAAGACCAGGCCAAAGCCAGGAGCTTAGAATTACATCTGGGTCTCCTGTGTGGGTGGTAAGGACCCAAGTACCTGAGCTATTGCTTACTGCCACCAAGTGTGTATATTAGCAGAGGTCAACTCAGAACTTGAAACCAGGCACTCCATCTAGGATGTGGGCATGCCAAACGGTAAATTTTTAAAATTTTATAATATAAAGCAAATAGCTTTTATGTATTTCATAGGTAAAGCTCTAAGATGGTAACCATGCTTACTCCCTCCCTCCCTCTCTCTCTCTCCCTCCCTCAGTCCCCTCCTTCCTTCCCTTTTTGCCCTTTGTTTAATTTTTGCAAGGACGTAATTTTGATCTACTCTATAATCATAGGCTTAATTCATCACTAATCATGATATTCAACAAGTAAAAAGTAGGAAGACTGCAGTTTCAGAGTATAAACAAGGGCTGAAAACAAGATGTCTATTTCATTCCTATACATTTGTAATATCTATATTAACTGCTTCATTTTAGAGAAAACCTGGTATTTCTCTTGTTGAGAGTGGTTTATTTCCCCAAGCATGATGATTTCCAGTCGCATCAATTCTGGTGAAAAAGTCAGGTTTCATTCTCTCTCTTTTTTTTTTTTGACAGGCAAATTTAGATAGAGAGAAAGGTCTTCCTTTCTGTTGGTTCACCCCGCAAATGGCCGCGTGCTGTGCCGATCTGAAGCCAGGAGCCAGGTGCTTCCTCCTGGTCTCCCATGCGGGTGCAGGGCCCAAGCACTTGGGCCATCCACTGCCTTCCCGGGCCACAGAAGAGAGCTGGACTGGAAGAGGGACAACTGGGATAGAATCTTGCGCCCCAACCGGGACTAGAACCCAGGGTGCTGGTGCCGCAGGCGGAGGATTAGTCAAGTGAGCCACGGCGCCGACCTCTTTTTTTTTTTTTTTGGCAGAGCAGTATTTCACAGTGTATATATACCACATTTTCTTAATTCTGTCATTAGTTTATGGAGATTTGGATTGATTTCTTACCTATTGTGAATTGAGCTGCTATAAACATGGAGGTACACATAACTCTTTCATATACTGCTTTCTTTCCATTTGGGTAAATTCCCAGAGGTTGGATGGCTGGGTCACGTGGTATATCTATTTCAGCTTTCTGAGATTTCTCCATAATGTCTTTGACAATGGTTGTACTAGTTGACATTGCTACTAACAGTGGATTAGGGTACATATTCTCCCACATCCCTGTATTTATTGTATTTTGATTTTTGGATGACAGCCTTTCTAACTGGGGTTGAAGTGAAACCTAATTGTGATTTTGTTTGCATTTCCTTGATGGCTAGTGATCCTGAGCATCTTTTCATGTATCTGTTGGCTATTTGAATTTCACCCTTTGAAAAATGTCTGTTCGTGTCTTTTGTTTTGCCGTTGAGTTTGTTGATTTCTTTAAAGATCTTGGATATTAATACTTTATCAGAGGGCCGGCACTGTGGCACAGTGGGTTAAAGCCTGCAGAGCCAACATCCCATATGGGCGCTGGTTTCAGTCCTGGCTACTCCACTTCTGATCCAACTCCCTGTTAGTGTACCTTGGAAAGCAGCAGAGGGTGGCCCTAGTCTTTGGACCCCTGCACCCATGTGGGAGACATGGATAAAGTTCCTGGCTTTGGATTGCCTCAGCTCCTGTTGAGGCCGTTTGGAGAGTGAAACAGTGGGTGGAAGACCTCTTTGTCTCTTTCTCTACCTCTCTCTGTAACTCTTTGAAATAAATAAAGTAAAAAAAACCAACATGGATATATTTTTAAAAATCCTTATCACTTCCATAGTTCGCATACATTTTCTCCTATTCTGTTGGTTGCCCCTTTACTTTGTTGAGTGTTTACTCTGCAGGACAGAAGTTTCTTAGCTTTGTATGCTTCCATTCATCTAGTTTTGGTCATCATTGCCTGTGCTTCTGAGGTCTTTTCCAGGAAGTCTTTGCCTATGCCAGTGTCTTGCAGAGTTTGCTTAATGTTTTCCTGTAGTAATTTGATGGCATCAGAGCATAGATTTAGATCTTTCATCTATTTTAAGTAAATATTTATATAAGGTATAAGAGAAGAATCTGGTTTCGAACCCCTGTATGTGTAGACCCAATTTTACCAGCACCGTTGTTGTAGCTGCATGGGTTAGTTTCTGGGGTTTCTATTCTGTTCCATCGGTCTACATGTCTATTTCTGTGCCATTACCAGGCCGTTTTGATTATAACTGCCCTGTACTATGTCTCTAACTCTGGTATTGCAATGCCTCAGGCTTTGTTGCTTGTTTGGGATCTCTTACTATATTGGATAGAAATGGGGAGAGTGGAAAGCCTTGAATGGTTCTGGATCTTGGTGAAAATGCTTCCAAATTTTCCTTGCTTAATGTTTTTATCATGCAAGGATGTTGTATTTTAGCAAATGCTTTCTCTGCATCTATTGAGATAATCATATGGTTTTTATTCTTCGGATTGTTAATGTGATGGATCATACTTGCTGATTTGCCTATGTTGAGCCATCCCTGCATAGTAATCTAGAAATTATTTAAAGCGTTCAGGAGGATGTGTGCAGCTTCTGTGCAAATACTATGCAATGCTATATAATGCTGAAATTGTGTGTCCTTGGATTTTAGTATCCACGGAACAGGGGTAAGGGCATCCTGGAACCAGCTCCCTGCAAATACCAAGGGGTGACTTCACTCGCTATATGGTTTTAACCTCATTTGGATGCATTACTGTATTTTTCTTAGAGAATAAAGCCGACATTTTGCAAATCACTTGGAAAGCAGTACATAAAGATGGAAAGTGAATTTGCCGTGTCTTGCTTTCCACATCATTTTTTTTAAACTAACTTTTCTGTTCCCCCTCTATTTTAGGCAATTGCTCTCTTAACTGAATTAATTCGGGAGAACTTCAGGAACAGCAAATTAAAACAGTGCCTCTTGCCAACCCTTGGAGAGCTGATCTATCTCGTAGCCACCCAGGTGAGACTGTCTGATTACCTCTGGTGCTGGCTGACATGTTCTGACATATCCTGGCTGACAACCATTAATGTCCTATGAAAGTTCTCCGACGCTGGCCCTCAGAGCATGCCTAAGGAACGTAGGAGGAATTTCTCCTCTGGGGGAGAGCGTTCTCAGGCCATGTTTCACAGCTGAGAGGCTGCACGTCCGCAGGGCACTCCTTAGGTTGCTGCCATCTTTGACTCCTTCAGGCAAGAGAAGACCATCGGTTCTGCCTGTGCAGTTTAAATAGAATGTGACTTTGTACAAATGAAGCTTTGAATGTGACTATGGGAATTTGTGGTGACAGGATTTGACTACTTATTTCTAAAGCTATAATATGGAAGTGCTGTTGAACAAGGGAAGTCTTAATATTGCCATAATTTTTAAAAAATAATGAATACTTTTAGAATACTTGGGTACCTGCAACCACAGGGCAGACCTGTAAGAAACTCATGGCTCCTGGCTTCAGCTTGGCCCAAATCCAAGGGCAATATAAATATTATATTGAATAATAAATATTGAATATCAATACTTAGAATATTGAATGTTTTTAGAATATTGGTAGATTTGGGGTTGGGCATTTGTGATGCTGTGGTGGTTTCATATAGATACTCATAAGGTACAAGTTTAAAAGGAAGTTCTGTTCTTGAATTCTCAAATTTTGGCCCTGTAACTTACTCAAAATGTTAAGTAACCAGAATATCTTTCGTGTTTGTATTAAATCAGCTTTCTGGAGCATCCTCACTTCACGGTCACTATCATAGTTATTACAAAAACATCAGTATTTTAAGATATTTAGTTCCATCATTAGCATTTTTTTTTAGATTTTTTTTACTTACTTATTTGAAAGAGTTACACAGAGGAGAGGCAGAGAGACAGAGAGAGAGGTCTTCCATCCACTGGTTCACTCCCCAGATGGCCACAACCACTGGAGCTGCGCCAATCTGAAGCCAGGAGCTTCTTCTGGGTCTCTCACGTTGGTGCAGGGGCCCAAGCACTTGGGCCATCTTCCACTGCTCTCCCAGGCCATAGCAGAGAGCTGGATTGGAAGTGGAGCAGCCGGGTCTTAAACTGGCACCCATATAGGATGTCGGCGCTTCAGGCCAGGGCATTAACGTGCTGTGCCACAGCGCCAGCGCCCCCATCATTAGTATTGATAGCTGATATAGCAAATCTCCATTTTTCTTCCTTTTTATGAGTGTCATGGCTATTCCTTTTTTGTAAAAATTCTTTTTTGGAACAGTTTGTCCAATTAGCCAAAAATGGGTGTAGGGTCCCAAGCTGTTAGGTCATCTGCTGCTGCTTTTCCCAGGCCATTAGCAGGGAGCTGGATCAGAAGTGGAACGTCCGGGACTCAAACTGGCTCCCATATAGGATGCTGGCATTGCAGATGGCGGCTTTACATGCTATGCCACAGTGCTGGCCCTGGTCATCTGTGTCTTGAAAGAGACAACACATTCACCCATGTAGAAAATGAGGAAGAAAGGAATATGAGGGTGGGAAAATCCTTTTTTCTGACTTCTATACCCTATCTGCCTAATTCTTCAATAATAATGTTCTTCATTTACAGAGTTCTCTTTGATTAAATGGACAAATTTAAATGTATATTATTATTTTGTGTTGGGTAAAAACTCATTTTTTTAATCTTAGTACTTAGATCCCATTAAGAATAGCATATATAGATAAATCACTGGAGGGAGTTCCTATTTTTTAATTTCTAAATTATTTTTATTCTATTTGAAAGGCAGAGAGAGATCTATTGGTTCACTCCATGAGTGCCCAAAATATCCATGACTAGGTCAGGCGACGTCAGCAGCTTGGAGATGTATTTCTTTTTCTTTTTTAAAAGTTTTTTTTTTTTTTTTTTTTTTTTTTATTAATTTGAAAGTCAGAGAGTTAGAGCCAGAGAGAGAGAGAGAGAGAGAGAGAGAGAGAGAGATCTTCCATTCTGCTGGTTCATTCCCCAAATGACTGCCACGAGCTGATCCAAAGCCAGGAGCTTCTTCTGGGTCTCCCAGATGGGTGCAGGGGCCCAGGGACCTGGGCCGTCTTCTACTGCTTTCTCAGGCCATAGCAGAGGGCTGGATCAGAAGAGGAGCAGCAGGAACTCGAATTGGCACCCATATGGGCTGCCGGTGCTGCAGGGCTGGGGCTTTAACCCACGGTGTCACAACACAGGCCCCGAAATGTATTTCTTAGTAGGTCCTTGGAGCTCCCTCTGTCTTGATGCTTTGTTGTAGTGGAGCATTCCCTTGTGTGATAACCCGTTGGGTACCAATTCTGGGAAAGGCACTTTTCCTTACAGTTCCTTAAGGGTGGGAATAGAGAGGTGATTTCTGCTTTACCATTGCCTTGAGTGCCGAAGACCTTGACGTCACAGCTCAAGTTTACCAACGTTTTCAGACTTGAAGTAAAATCAAACATTACTACTCAGTTTATCCTGCTTCCCATGGTCTATTTTTTTTTTTACCTAATTACTTTTATTTTTTTATCAGATTTTTGATTCATATTAGGGAAATTATCATAAAACCAGATGCTCTTATTAGAATAGTCAGACACCAGCCTGCCTTCTTCTCAGAATGGGCATCTACATTCATTCTTTAAAAGTTTTTTGAGGCCAGCGCTGCAGCTCACCAGGCTAATCCTCCGCCTGCGGCACCGGCACCCTGGGTTCTAGTCCTGGTCAGGGCGCCAGATTCTGTCCTGGTTGCTCCTCTTCCAGGCCAGCTCTCTGCTGTGGCCAGGGAGTGCAGTGGAGGATGGCCCAAGTGCTTGGGCCCTGCACCCCATGGGAGACCAGGAGAAGCACCTGGCTCCTGGCTTCGATCTGCACAGCGCACCGGCCATAGTAGCCATTTGGGGGGTGAACCAATGGAAGGAAGACCTTTCTCTCTGTCTCTCTCCAACTCTGCCTGTCAAAAAAAAAAAAAATAAAAAAAAAAGTTTTTTGATCCTATTCTTTGACTTAGCCCTCCCCCTAGCTTAATTGAGGTATAATTGGTATGTGATGATATACTCATATACACATGTTTAAAGAATCCAGTTTGATAAATTTGCTGTTAGTGTATATACTTGGGAAGCCTGTGACACCGAATGCCGTATTGTAGCTTCGGTTTGAGTGCCAGCTGCTTGCTTTCCATACAGCTCCCTGCAAGTTCTCCTTCATTCCAAACTGCACCATCGGTTTGAGTCCTGGCTCCTCTGCCTCCCATCCAGCTTCCTGCTAATGCCCCTGGGAAAGCAATGGAAGGTGACTCAATTATTTGAGCCCCTGTCACCCACATGGGAGACTTGGATGGAGTTCCTGGCTCCTGGCTTCAGCCTGGTACAGGCCCAACTGTCACAGTCATTTGAGGAGTGAACTAGCAAATGGACGGTATCTCTTCTCTGCTTCTTGCTCTTTATCTCTCTCTCATGCTGCCTCTATAGTAAATAAAATAAATTTTTAAAAAAAGATTATGGCCTGGCGCCGTGGCTCACTAGGCTAATCCTCTACCTGCAGCGCCAACACCCTGGGTTCTAGTCCTGGTTGGGGTGCTGGATTCTGTCCCGGTTGCTCCTCTTCCAGTCTAGCTCTCTGCTGTGGCCCGGGAAGGCAGTGGAAGATGGCCCAAGTACTTGGGCCCTGCACCTGCATGGGAGACCAGGAAGAAGCATCTGGCTCCTGGCTTCAGATCAGTGCAGGGCGCCGGCTGGGGTGGCCATTTGGGGGGTAAACCAGCAGAAAGAAGACTTTTCTCTCTGTCTGTCTCACTGTCTAACTCTGCCTGTCAAAAAAAAAAAAAAAAAGATTATGAACTTAGCTATCACCTCCCAAAGTTTCCTCAGCACCCTTTTTTTTCCTAAAAAATTTATTTATTTGAAAGAGTCACAGAGAGAGGTAGAAACAGAGAGAGAGAGGTCTTCCATCTGCTGGTTCACTCCCCAGATGGCTGCAATGGCCAGAGCTGCCCTGATCCGAAGCCAGGAGACAGGAGCTTCCTCCGGGTCTCCCACGTGGGTGCAGGAGCCCAAGGACTTGGGCCATCTTCTACTGCATTCCCAGGCCATAGCAGAGAGCTGGATGGAAGAGGAGCAACCAGGACTAGAACTGGTGCCCATATGGGGTGCCGGCGCTTCAGGCCAGGGCTTTAACCCGCTGTGCCACAGTGCCAGCCCCTTTCAGAACCCTTTGTTAATGCCTCCTTCCTGCCTCTTTTTACAACCACTAAGGTACTTTCTTTGTCTACTAGACTACTTTGGATTTTCTGGAATTTTATATAAATAGAATCATGTTCCTGTTTTATGAAAGTAGATGTGCAGTCATTCTCGTTGGTAGTCACTTTAATTGGATACAAGCTAGATTATTTCTAATAAAGGCGTGATTTTTGTGGCTGTCATATGTGACTACATCCTAGTAAACCAGGAAAGGAAGTGGTGCTCCTGGCTCTACACAAGTCAGTTTTCACGAGATGAGGGCTGTTGTGCATTTGTTCTGTTTGGGTTACAGTCAGCCGCGCGGTCTCGGGACAGGTTTTATGTGAAGTGATAGGACACACTGTCTGTAACCCACAAATGGGAATTCTGACAGTGACGCCCTCCTGACACCTGCAGGCAACAGGTTTAGGGACAGAAGGCCAGGCTGTGGTCCTGCAGGGGATGCTGGGAGATGGCTCATTCTCAGGTTGAATTGTTCTTTGACTTTGTCAAGGAAACCTATCTCCTGGAGTCTCGGTCTTCTCATGGTGTCTTCCCCCACCCCCATCCCATAATCTTTCTGCCAATCTGTTGTAAGAATGCTCAGATGGTCTCCTTGGTTCAAGATTGTGTCCGTTAAAATCTGTCTTCTGGAGACCAGCCAGAGTGAGCCTATGAAAACAGCTGGGAGATTGACAGCGGCCCTCTAGGAGGCCTCTACTGGGTCTGAGCTGCCTCATTGTCATGGCCAAAGCCCCTCCAGCTGCCTTCTTGGTCTAGTGTGTTACTCGATCCCACACTAC